TTGAACCAAATAGCTAAAAATGCAAAAAGTGTCATGATAATGGCAACTAATCACCCCAAAATCAGGAGCAGAATGAACATTGTAATGTTCTCCTGCTTACTTGATTGCTATTTTTCGATTCTTAAATTATCAAAATGCAGTTGTACACGTTCATAATTTTATTATAATACAGGCTGTTCGAAAAGTCACTTCAGTGTTTTGTCTTGTCAGTATTGCCATTACTGCGTCATCACATTGTAAATATTGCCAGGTCGTACATTACTACACAAATACAACTACACTGTACAATGTTTGGGATCCTTAGTTAAAGGTTTTAGCTTTGAAAAAAAATTGTTCCGTTTCAAGAACGTTTCATTGTAACTTGCAGAACAACAAAAACGTTTGCATCAAAGAAAAGGGACGAAAAACATTTTAATCGCCGAAAATTCTGTCTGTGACGACGCCGACATAAGTAACACACCTGCAGTTCTAACCGGTAACACGGAAACTACCCACCTTCCATTTTACGAAGCCATTTCGCTTTGTGACATGAAATCGAAATGAGGCTTTTTAGTGTCGTAACGACACTAAAAGCGAACGTGTGTTGATGTCTGTCAAGACCACGAGTAGCAACTGTCATTGCCCTGCGTGTAGGAGTAATTACTATTTCAGCGTTTCTCTACAGTACTTGAATTCAAGGAAGAAGGCACATATCTACTGCGCAGTTGCGAGGGATGCCACGTGACGATAGGCGAACCAATCAGCTTGAGCCAGTTCTTGTTACTGCCACAGATGCTGTATGCTTCGTGTAATGGCGTTCACGTGTTGTAAAAATAAAGAGTTCCAGGTCGTCGTTCGTTCTAAAGGTCTTACACACCTACAGACACTCGTTATTACTGATAAACCTTGATCGGATACGGTAATACTTCCGGATCACCTCCAGACACAACTGTGTTGTCTACTATTTCATCTCTGACAGATGTACACCTCAAAAGCATCACTTCAAACAATAAAGTTGATCCATTATATGAAAATATCTGGACACGACCTCCAAAACTACACTACGAAAAATTGTAAAAAATTGTAATTGAGTTTTAAATTTAATATAATTTTACACCTGATGATGGTTTAATAAAACCGAAACATGTTGTAACTGTTCCAATTGTAAATCGATTATTCGATATGGAACACAGAATGATATTTTAATTATTTTAACTATCTTAATTTAAATACATTGTGATTTGACGGAATAACCAAATCATTTAATTTTAATGATAATGAGAGTTGGTGTCAACATGTCTCAATGTGCATAGAGGTTAGATGGCTACAGTGATGTGACGCAAAAATGGTTTCGTGATTTTTCTCAGTTTCTATGTGAAAATTGTCGGGTAGTAGTCTGTGTTTACATAAAGCGCGACTGGTTTTGTGTCAGACACTTCCTTGTTACAATTCATCCCTGGTTTATCATATCCTGTGGAACATGCAACTTCTAATACTGAAATAACAAATTAAATAACGGAATTAATTAATTCTGCTCAATTCCATCAACTGCAGTCCCGACTCAGAGATGCACCAACGCTTAGGTGTCTTGCGGCATCAAAGAGAGTTACATTTCGTGTGTTACGTAGAGCTGGAAGTCTGTATGCACGACTTGTCTGCGCTGTTAATTCCCTTGAGATATGAACCAGGGTCTTAAGAATCTACCTCATCTGCGCCGCCTCGTTCACGTACATCTAAATGCAATATCCGATGCAGGTCGGCTAGTGTGACCCTGTGATCAGCGCAAGGCTTTCGGCGACATCATTGTCAATGTATCAAAAAAAAAAGCGGCCCATTCAAA